CGCATTTACTACTGGAGGTTTGTTCAGTTTTCATGGCAATCAACTTTTGGGGTTTATGAGCAGTACTTAACATATATAACCAAAGAATGAATAACCATTTAAAACAGAGCTATTAAAAGAAAGATCTATGGGGATTTTTCAATTTCACAATGACTTACTCCTTAAGCAAAAAGAAAATGGGTTTGGTTTGAGCTGCCTGTGGGGGATCTCTAATATTCTATTCTAAGTGCCTCTTACATCCCTAATACGTAGTAGGCACTCAGTAAATATTTATTGATGGACTGAATTTGATTTCTAATCCCAGCTTTGTGCCTTGCAACTTCTGTAACCTTGGACTTTCTTGAACCTTCTAAGCTTCAGTTTCCTCTTATGTGAAAAAGGAGGTACCAATATTTACCTCCCAGGATTGTTGTAAGGATTAAGTGTTCATACATTTAAAATAGCCAGCACAGTACGTGGTATGTAGTAGGCACACATTCATTGCATGTTTCCCCAGATATCTCACTTCATTCTTCAGTGATGTTCTTTACAGGCATTTTTTTCCCTTCTCATTCTCTAAACATTTAGAAACTGTATTCAAGAGAGAATATGAATGTTTGCCAGTTAAGCTGAAAATATGTTCCTTTGCAGTCCACACTTGGAATGTTTTAGCAAAACGATTGTATGTCTAACAGATTTGGTTTGAATCCTGGTTTCGCAATGTACTAGTGCCGTGACCTTAGGCAAGTTACCTGTCTGTAAAGTATCAGGAGGCTGAAATGAGGAATAATATGTATGCATAAAACATCTAGTTCCATTGGCTGTTTGCATAGGCCCAAAATAGATATTTAAGTTGAAACTGGTATTTAATCTGATAATTTACATAATTAAATCACCTTTATGGAGAGCCTACTCTACTCAAATCCTGTTAAGAGCAGGCGGCAGGATTGTGAATAAACAGTGGGCATGTTGGCATGTAGGTGACTGAATTTGGCCCTGCCTAGAATGGGGTTCAGCAGAAGTGGTATTTTCTGTTGTATTTGAAGTTAAATAAATTAACAGGCTGTTACATTTGGTATGGCATTTTTTTTTTTTTTGGTGTTGCCTTTCTTTATTGAATATCAGAGTTTTTAAAAATGAATGTCAGGGGGCCAGCCTGGTGGCGTAGGGGTTAAGTCTGCACGCTCTGCTTTGGTGGCCCCGTCTTTGCGGGTTCAGATCCCAGGCGCACCTACGCACTGCTCATCAAGCCATGCTGTGGCGGCGCCCCACGTACAAAAAATAGAGAAGGATTGACACAGATGTTAGCTCAGGGCCAATGTTCCTCAAGCAAAAAGAAGATTGGCAACAGACGTTAGCTCAGGGACAATCTTCCTCACCAAATAATTAAAAAAAAAAAAGAATGTCAGAGATAGATTTATGAGTGCTAAAGCAGACCAGGTAAGTTTTGCTATCTAAAAATTTTTCATCTTCTTGCTTATCTTGTTCATTAGAAATAAATATGTTCCTCTCCTGTACTAAATTCAACATATGATATTGGTAAGTCAAATTTAATAAAATATTCTGCCCATTTAAAGATTCCCTTGAATTGTCTAGATAGTATATAAAATTGATTCCTACCCTAGCAGTCTAAGCATTACAAAGCTGGTGCTAAGAGTTTTATGAGAATTTCTAACAAATAGAAAAGCTTAAGGATGGCATTGGGCATTATAGAAAAGGTTTAATTTTGAAAATGTTTATAAAGTCCTCATCAAATTAACAATAAGGTTTTTAAAGGGGAACCAAAAAAATCAACGTTTATTTTGGAAGTTAACTTTCTCTGATAAAATATTAACATCAATTTTTGGTTATGTAGGTTTTCTTTTATTAATTGGGATATGATTTACATAACATAAAAGTTTCAGTGGTGTTAAGTGTATTCACAATGTTGTGCAACCATCACCATTATCTTGTTCCAGAACTTTTTCATCACCCCCAAAGGAAACGCCATATCTGTTAAGCAGCCACTCTCCATTTCCCACTTCCCCCAGCCCCTGGCAGCCACTAATCTGCCTATATCTCTATGGATTTGCCTATTCTGAGTATTTCATATAGATGGAATCATGCAGTATATTGCCTTATGTATCTGGTTTCTTTCACTTAGCATGTTTTCAAGGTTTATCTATGTTGTGCCATGTATCAGTACTTCATTCCTTTTTATGGCTGAAGAATATTCCATTGTATGGATATACTACATTTTGTTTATCCATTCATCAGCTGATGGACTTTTTGGGTTGTTTCTACTTTTTGGCTACTGTGAATGATACTACCATGAACATTTGTGAAAGTTTTTGTGTAGACATATGTTTTCAATTCTCCTTGGTATATATCTAGGATGGAATTACTGGGTCGTATGGTAACTCTATGTTTAACTTTTTGAGGAACTGCCAAACTGTTTTCCAAAGCAGCTGCATCATGTTATGTAATTTTTAATGCTGTCTGAGGTACTTGGAAGAAATGAGAGAAAATTTATTAAAATGTTAACCTGAGAATATTAGTACTCATGACAGCCCTTCTGGGAAGCCAGATGGAAGCCTCAATTTGCCTCATTTGCTTTTCAGAATGCAAACAGTAAAATATAAACCTACACTCTATAAATAGTGTCAAATTTTTTATGCCCTCTTATTCCTCCACCCACCTACTTCTCCTAAAAGTTTGGAATATGCTTGAAATTGATGATGTTTACTTTCACATAGGATAGGTCTCTAAAAGTGACACATCTAGGTCCCTGCTTTGTTTTTCCTTAGTGAGTTTCATATTTTATTACATGGTTTACTAATGGAGAGAAATTGAGCAATGCTCTTTCTACAGAAAACATTCTTAAATCAAAATTCCAAGTAGATTTAATTAATTCTGATTAAATTTTCTTGGACGTAAAAATATTTTTCAAAAATATCACATAAAGACCTCACTTAAAAATCTTTGAGTAAAAGATATTGCGTTAATGTGTTAGGTGGTATCGAGATGCTTTTGTCTCCTCTGCTGATGACACTACCCATGTCTCTGCTTCTGTTGCTTGCTAGTCGTTATCCACTATTCAACCTCCTACATTTGTTCTAACAAATATTTATACAATCTTCATAAATATACATAAAATGAAATCATTATAAAGAAATAAAGTAAATTGATTTCATTGGGGGTATAGAATTTCAAAGCAGAAAGGTTATTCAAGAGGAATAATATTCATGATGTAATTTCGAAAGCTAGATTGGAGCTTAAGTGCTTTTCATGCCTTATCTCACTTAACATGACAATCCATATGAATTTTATGTTTGGAAGAAGAAATGTGATTATCCATCATTCTATAAAGCTCTCTAGCCAGATTAGTCTTTATTCCTTAAGGATGTATTATAGAAATTGAGTTGTTTTCTTAAGAGTAATGAAAAATTAAGGGAGTTCTTTTTTAGGTGAATTTCTCTCAGATTTTAAAATATGAAATTCAGCATCATTGTGGACATTAAATATGTTGTTTACTAAGTTCTACAATTTTAGCCTATGATTTTCAGTTACTTTTGCAATTATTTTGGTGCCTAAAATAATTTGTTACTGTGTTAGATAACTTTATCTACTTCACTTTTGGAATGTCTAAGTATAGGTAGTTGCATTTTGGCTAGAGAAATATTGAGTTTCAGTCAGGGTTTTTGTCTGAATATTGACTCTTTTAATAAGTTTTTTTTTTGCATTTTTTAGGGCCATAGTATTAAGATTGTATAAGTTTGTAACTGTAGTTAACAATACTGTATATTTGAAAATTGCTGAGAGAGTAGATCTTAAAAATTCTCATCACAAGAAAGAAAAAAAGTTTTCTATGTGAAGTGTTGGATGTTAACTAAACTTATTGTGGTGATCATTTTTTAATATGTACATGTATCAAATCATTATGTTGTACACCTTAAACTAATATAATGTTGTATGCCAATTATATCTCAATAAAACTGGGGAAAAAATCTTCCAAGATAAAATGTTGATGGCTCTATTTTTATTTAAGGTATTGGTAAAGGGAAAGAAGTCAGGGAAATTTTGGAGGTCAAGATTTATATTATGAAAACCCAACTTAGTGATTTATATATACTTAGAAACAGTATGAGTGATCTGTGACCAAAATATGATTCTAGGAGCAATGATTGTTATGTAGATGGAGTATCTGCCCACACTTTATTGTTCTTGGTGTTCAAACTCTGGTCTTGTTGCCAAGATAAAGGAAGGTGTTCCTTCAGTTGGAAATTGCAATGCATTTCTCCATAGAAAGAGTGTGGTTCAAATAGTACTCTTAATTCTAGTTATTCATTCATTAAATAAATATTTTAAACTCCTGATAGAAGGCGGGTACTCTGTTGTATACTGTATATGTTTACAAGGATACAAAGATGAATGAAACAAAGTGTGACACGATTCCTAACCTCAAATAAGAGCTATTTTTTGCTAGTTGTGGGAGCACAAAATATGTGGTTGAAAGTCACCTAACATGGTTATATTTCTTTCTTTCTTTTTCCATGGTTCTTGGGTACTTTTGGATTAAACTGGCCTTTGTTTATTGCCCAGGATCTCAACTTTATTTCATAATTTTGTTTCTTTGGAAAAATGTTTCTCAAGTTTTATAACAAAGTATAACTGAACCTGGAGAACACAGTCTGTGCATAAGTTGGAGACTTAACCTATTTTGAAATGGAAATATGTTTCATTTGAAATGAAACTTATTTAAATGAAATGAGTTACATTTAGCTGGGCATCGCTGAGTTAAATGTATACTTGGTGCAGAGTTTTCAACTTTAATTGCTGACTTGCTTAGTGATAGTGAATGATTGGTCATAATCAACTAAAAAGTGTAAGATAAAGCATGGTGACCTGAGTAGTTTTTCAGATACAGTCAATTCTTCAGTATGCTAAGCATCTTTATAGACAACTTTCATCAATTGTTATTTCTGTTTCTCTTGGATAATCAGACAGTTTCTCTCCTTCCCTCTTTTTTAGGAGACATATGTGAAAGGGTCAGAGGCCTTGATATTTGAGCGGACAAGGTAAGCATTCAAGTAAACACTTCAGTATCATTGTGACAATTGAATTGAATGATTTGATATCAAAAAGAATTTCAGTTATTTAAAAAAAGAGTCAAGTAGGGCCGGCCCTGTGGCTTGGTGGTTAAGTGCGCGCGCTGCAATGCTGGCGGTCCGGGTTCGGATCCCGGGTGCGCATCGAGGCACCACTTCTCCGTCCATCCTGAGGCCGAGTCCCACATGCCGCAACTAGAAGGATGTGCAGCTATGA